AAGAAAGAAAGAAAGAAAGAAAGAAAGAAAGAAAGAAAGAAAGAAAGAAAGAAAGAAAGGAAGGAAGGAAGGAAGGAAGGAAGGAAGGAAGGAAAAGAAAAGAAAAGAAAAGAAAAGAAAAGAAAAGAAAGAAAACTAAAGGTCACAGAAATGAACATTTTCCCCAACTGGAGAGACAGAGTAGAGGCCAGGGCCTAACATGCCTCAGGAATGAGCTGTGTAGTTTTGAGTTTCTGCAACTAGTCTAGAGACAAAGTTACCACTGGTTTTCCCAAGAATATACAAAGAAATATGGGGAAATCAATAGGGAAAGACTGGACAATACTGCTTGTCCTCTAAAATCTTTGCAAATATGGAAGATAATAAAAATGAAAGTTTTCGCACACACCTTTCATATTATTCTGGAAGCTCCTAAGAATTTCTAGCTCCAGTGTGATGTGTTAAAATCTTGCCTCCCCCTGCCCTTCTCTCTCCGATAGTCTAAGAGAAGCACACCATATAGGGCAGCAGCCCAACATCTGAGAACTCAGGCCTAGTTGCATCTTCTATAAAAAGAATATTCACCTAGTAAAAGTGTTTGAGGCAAAGCTGACTTACCATGTGGAGAATAGACTCGTAAGTTAATGGGTATGGAAGAAATGCCTTTATTCATTCCAGTCACTCGATCTGTCTCGGCTTCAATCTCATGGCGAACTTCATCAAAATCCGTAAACTTCTTTCCTTTGCAATGTAGAAATTCAGCATATTCTAAAAAAGACAATTTAACACAACCTAAATGTGTGCATTCAATGCTAGAATTCTAAGAAAGTCATATTTCCTTATTTATAAGTGAAAGAATCCCATGTTATCCAACATCTCCTCCGCCATCATATAAGAATGAAGAGACATAAACAAAGGAGGAGGCTGCAATGCTTGATAAGAAATGTACGCATTATCCTGCCCATGTAATTGTAACCCCTCTGTACAGTATGTTCACAAATAAAATTAAATTTTAAAAAAAGAATGAAGAGACAAGTGTTCTAAACACTAAACAATACAGATACTATGGCCGCTGGGTTTGCTCAAGTCATCCAGCTGGCTCAGCGCTGTAAAGAAAACAACAGAGTCAAAAGCAGGGCCCTGTTCCTAAAGAAAGGGCACTAAGCTGCTACTGCTACTACTACTTCCGAAGCACCTGCTCCCTTTCCACATCTCCGTTCCCAAGATGGGAGTGCTAAGTGACAGAAGTAGACCTTCACCAAATGGGATGCTTCAGACGCAAGGTTTGCTTCAGTCTTTTTACAATAGCATATGGAATGTTGTTGCTTGGAACATTCAAAATGCCATTCTCACAAGAAAAAAGAGACAGAGTATTACAACAAATAAAGCATTTACATGGATTCAAACATGGGGAAAAATCAGCATGAAGAAGACAAAGCCCTGGGGCTAGGAAGTTGGCTCAGTGGTAGAACGCTTGCCTTGCATGCCTGATGCCCTGGGTTCGATTCCTCAGCACCACATAAGCAAAAAGAAAAAAGCCAGAAGTGGCGCTGTGGCTCAAGTGGTAGAGCGCTAGCCTTGAGCTGAAGAGCTGAGGGATAGCGCCCAGTCCCAGAGTTCAGGCCCCATGACCAGACCCCCCCCAAAAAAAAAAGACAAAGCCCTAAGATAACTACCTAAACAATAGAAAACTAATCACATGCTTTCAGTAACATCCTACCAACTGCTGTTTTATTACTTTTTTTTTTTTTTGGTCAGTTGTGGGGCTTGAACTCTGGGCCTGGGCGCTGTCCCTCAGCTCTTCAGCTCAAGGCGAGCGCTCTACCACTTGAGCTACAGCGCCACTTCCGGTTTTCTGGTGGTTTATTGGAGATAGGAGTCTCACGGTCTCTCCTGCCCGGGCTGGCTTTGAACCTCGATCCTCAGATCTCAGCCTCCTGAGTAGCTAGGATTACAGGCGTGAGCCACCAGTGCCTGGCTGTTTTATCACTTTTTTAATGGGGAGTATTGAGGATTAAGCACGGAATCCAGTGCTTGTCAGGCAAACCCTTTCTGGGGGGCGAGAGAGAGTGGGAGGTGTCCGCACAGGACCTGCCTCTCTCTGTCGATATTCTGAAGGATATTTGACCCATACCACACGTAGCAGCATCCCAACGTCTGAGAACTTTCTGGGCAGGCTCTCTGCTACTTGAGCCAAACCTTTAGTGCTTTTTGCTTTAGATTTTTTTCAAGTAGGAGCTTACTTTTTTTTGTTTTGCATGTCAGCCTGGTCTACCTCTACTAAAACTACGACTACTACTACCACTGCTGTGGCTGCTGCTACCACTCCCACTGCTACAACTGCTGCTGCTACAGCTACAACTACAGCTGCTACAGCTACTACTACAGCTACTACTACAGCTACTACAGCTGCTACAGCTACCGCCACCGCTGCTACCGCTTCATCACCCTTCCCGCATGGCTGTGACGACAGGGGGCCACTGCCACCCACACCTTTTTCCTTAAAATGCCATCTTGGAAACACTTTTCCAAGGCTAGCCAGGCAAAGATTCCCCGTTTCCACCTCCCAAAGTAGCTAAAATCACAGGCATGAGTCCGTACTTGCGGGCTAGGCTGTACATCCTGATACCTACTTCCAGCAATATTACAGCTACGAAAACACAAAGGGGAAGCTAGAACTGTGGAGTCAAAAGCTTAACAGTTTCAACAGAAGAACAAATGGTTCCGAGGACTTTGGCTGAAGAACTGTTCCGAACATCACTGGTCCAGAGTTCCGCCGAGGAAACCCTGCTCCCTGCGCTCCCCGCCACACGCGCTGAATTTTCACTCAGGAAGACTAAATGGAGACAGATGCGAGAGAGGCCCCCTTACCGTCAGGCAGCTTAGCATTCACCAGCAGAGCCAAAGATTGTATCACAGAGAAAAAAAAGTCAGCACAAGTGAAAGAAATCAGCGCTGACCAGCACTTGGAGTGACAGGAGAGGCAGGGGTGGGCAGAGAGCCTCGGGCTGCTGCGGGGCGGGGAG